AAAACGTTTCTCGAGTTTTATAAAACGATTCTCGAGTTTTATAGAACGATCTTCGAGTTTTATAAAACAGTCTACGAGTTCCATAAATGACTTTGAGTTTTATAAAACTAGTCCTTGGGTTTTATAAAACTACTCTTTTTGTATTTTCGCGGGGAGTTTTGGCTATTAATTCCGTTGTACCGATTTTGACCCCAACATCACTTTCCTAAGTTGGTATAAAGAGTAAAAGTAGGCACCTGCATGTGAATGCTTTACTTTGAAATTTTTGTCGGGAAAGGTGCCACCATAGATTGACTTACTCCCTTTCCCATCACCATGGATTAAGTCTCTCAGAACATACTAAGATTAAGCAAAGGTTCTATGGAAGACAGAGTTTATGTACCTCCATCTTCTCCGTAAGCTCTTTGGCTGCTGGAGCAGAAACCACAATGTTACGTGCACCAGGTTTAATAAAACCTTCTTCAACGCCAGTGTCAAACAAAAGCAAGCAAACTGTTATAGTACCCATCAACATTAAATAGACCAACCTGCAAGAAAAAAAAATCCCAAACAAAATCAGTATAGGAACTAAAAGTCCTCTGCATCATTTTTTGACATAGCAAAAGAAATCTGTTAGAATATACCGTTTTCTTGTGGATACCAAGTTGTGACCATGTTATCATCTCCAGCACCTCCTCCATTGTTCCATAACCTTCTGAAACAAAACAAAAAAACCGCGGTTTTAGATAAGAAACTAAAACGTTCAGTATGCTTTGGCTCTGTACTCAAGACTTTTTTCTCACCAGTGAGGGCAATGAAGGCCTCAGCTTCTTGTGCCATTGCATCTTTGTGTTTGTGCATGTCTGCAACCACTCTTACATTTCCAACAGTCTTACCAGATATCTGGTGAAACCCAAGTCATAAGATATGGTAAAGGCAAACCATTGAATCATCAAATCTAACTATAAACTATTATACATCATTGAAACACATTCATCGTTAGATAATCTTCCAAAACTCAGTCCAAGTTTGCTACTTCCTGGAACTACTTGAGATTGTATAAGAAGATACATACCTCAATTGGCATCAAAGCCTTGGGAATGATCCTGCAAGTATATAGAATCCAATCAGAAACCCTTCGATAAGTTTGAAAATGAAAGGAGAATGTAAGAGAATACTCTTAAAAAACACCAACCCGAGCACATGGAAGCCACCTTCATAAACTCTCTTGGAAATAAGACCCATCAAACCAACACTTCCTCCTCCATAAACCAAGTCGATCTTCCTCTTCCCTTGGATTTTCGTCATTTTTCTCCTCCATTGGATGATTTGTACAAGACACTTTGCTTACTCTAATCTCTCAGAATAGAAAGCATTAACGGATGCTAAGATAAACGGAATCAAGTTTTCTTGCCTGTGAGGTTCCTCTTCTTTCACCTTGGTAATCTGAGCCTTTAGTTCCATTACCAGCCAGAGTCTCTACTCTCTCGTTGACAAAAATCAATTTCCCTAAGAAGAACTCCAAATTAAGATAAAAAAAACATGTAATCATGATCTTACTCATGTTTAGTGATTCGAATGAACACGGGTGAAAGAAGTTCTGCAGATTCTAGGGTCAGTTGTGTTCTTGAGAAATTCAATAACCTCAGAGTTCTACGACGTTCATCTCCTTCTCTCTCGCCTTATAAATGAAATGAAGAGAAGCTCGTCTTATAGAGCTGCAAACTCACAGCTATGCATCCCTATGATGGTGAAAAATAGAATATCAGAAACAGAGTTTCTTTTTTTTTTTGTATAGGGTTTAAATATTTGATTTGTAAAAGTATATGTACCTTGACTGAGGACTGAGGGAAGGGGGGGGAGAGCCATGTCAAATAGTGTTAGAAACCTGCAAATTAATGGAAAAACAATGTAAGAACAATGAAGAACAATGTTCTTAAATGGGGGATAATTGAGTGTCTCCGAATCGATTTTGATAGATTAGGGTACTTTGTTCATTGCCGAAATGGGGAAAGGGGAAATCGTGGGCTTCAGAGAAACATATCAAGTCCAACTGACGAATAATCAAAGCAAATTCGATAAAAACAAATCGAAACCCATCGAAGCCCAAATAAGGGTTGCTGACGTCGCCAAAACTTGAACTCCTATTAGTCTATTAAATTTAATGACATGGCAGCATGGCATGGAAGAGTATTCTCATTTTAGTATTGTATAGATTTTAATAGAAAACGAATTATATGAGCATCAAATCTATATGGCCTCTATATCCCGCGGCATAGCCTGCAAAAAATCCCTGCCCATTTTTTCGCACTTGTGTCGCGGGCGTCACTCTCCCGCGGTAGATGGCCGCGATATGGATGAATTGATCGCGGGCATGCCTAGGCCGCGGTACTTTCCCGTTTCTGCACCATTTCTTGCTCCTTTCATCGTTTTGGAACCCATTTAGCCTCTAAACTTGATTAGCACTTCTCCATACCTGCCAACACACAAATAAAAAATGCAATGCAACCTAAACAGACTCTAAATGCACCTAAACGATCAATGGAAACATGAAATGGATGATTAAAAGTATGTAAATATGCAAGATATCATAAATAAGACCTCAGGGTCCAAAACACCTNGCACTTCTCCATACCTGCCAACACACAAATAAAAAATGCAATGCAACCTAAACAGACTCTAAATGCACCTAAACGATCAATGGAAACATGAAATGGATGATTAAAAGTATGTAAATATGCAAGATATCATAAATAAGACCTCAGGGTCCAAAACACCTCCGGGTTATATCGACACCTCCGGGTTATAAAGGCCTCCGGGACCAATAGATACCTCCGGGTCATATAGAAACCTCTGGGTTAAATAAGACCTCAGGGTCCAAAACACCTCCGGGTTATAAAGGCCTCCGGGTTCTATAGACACCTCCGGGTTATATAAAAACCTTCGGGTTAAAATAAGACCTCAGGGTCCAAAACACCTCCGGGTTATATCGACACCTTTGGGTTATAAAGGCCTCTGGGTCCTATAGACACCTCCGGGTTAAAATAAGACCCCAGGGTCCAAAACACCTCCAGGTTATATCGACACCTCCGGGTTATAAAGGCCTCTGGGTCCTATAGACACCTCCGTGTTATATAGAAACCTCCGGGTTCAAAACGACCTCAGGGTCTAAAAGCAACCTTCGGGTTCAAAACAACCTCAGGGTCTAAAAAGAAACCTCCAGGTTTAAAAACAACCTCCGGGTTCAAGATCACCTCCGGGTCTAAAAGCAACCTTCGGGTTCAAATAACAAACTTCAGGGTTTAGATAAAGACCTCAGGGTCCCAAATGTTAAAAACTCCGAGTTTTGCATTTTTATTTCCTTACCTCCGGGTTCAGACAAAAGACCTCAAGGTATATCAGAAACCTCAGGGTTCTAGACAAACTGCTTGAATCTAAAGGATCCCAATTCCTAGGTGTCCATCTCCAGGTCCCAAACATTGATTCTCCGAGAATCTGCGGAGGGACCAGGGTTCAAAAGAGCCCTCGAGTTCCTTAAGGACCTCCAGCCTATCATCGGCTCTCAACCCTAACCAAAGGGCCCGAAGATCTTCTTCAAGGATTTTGAATGCTTCAAGACAATACTAGATGGCCTCGGCGACGCCTGCATCTGCAGGGCCAACTAGCTGAAAGAAAGGCCTCCAAAGACACCCCTCCCGATGAACCAACCTACAAGAAACCTCCGGGTTCAAAATGACGTTTGGGTCCTTGGACGAAAGTCCATCTGGACGAGAGTCCCTGGACGAGAGTCCCTGGACGAGAGTCCCTAGACGAGAATCCATGGAACCTCCAATTTATGAAGAATCACATCCCCAAACGTATGGATTTCAGAAGGATATATCTCTAAACCTTCATTTTTTGGGAGAGCATGCCCAGGATCCTCCAGTTTTCATGAAAGCACGACACACGTTCACCTCAGCATTGATTGTGGCCTACCTCCAAGGGCAGATTGCAAGGTTACATAGTTGAGAGTGGCCTAGAATCAGTGGCAGAGTTCAACTAATGATTCTACCTTCTTTGTTTGGCATAGAACCTACGGAATTCCGCAAACAACATATCCAAGAGACCTACTCTGGTACAATAATCACCTCCTGGTACCAAGTAGAACGTGCTGAATTTCCTCCCTGCCAAACATCCCCATGCCAAGAGTCAAGGTACATTCCCAAGACGAGGCAAGAAGCTGCAGCTATAGCATCAAAACCTCCAAGGGCATGAAGTATTCTATACGCAACAAAGGGGACCCGCATGAAGACCTGCTGAAAGGACATTGCTGCTTTAACTAGTTCGACAAAGAACAATATCTTAATAGCAAAATGTAGAAGAGGCACAAGAAAGGACAGCAGAATCAAGCATGAGAATCCTTACTTCTGGCCTCCGGGTCTCATCCAACCTCCTCACCCTCTTGATCCTTATCCTCGCCAAGATTCTCATTCTTAGGATTCTAGTGTCTGGACCCATACACTCCTCTACACAATTTGTCGAGTCAGAGAATTCTGCAGAAGCTCCAAATGAACCCTCCGCCTGAAATCAAGGCAAGAGTAGCTACGGTCAAGTCAACCTCATCTGGAACGAAGGACCGTATATCTAAACTGTCAGGAGAGTTCCTCTCCTACTCCAGAGTAAAACTGCATCCACGTGATCATCGTTACTCAGACCAAGCACACGCCCATTCAAGCATGTCTGAGAGTCAATCTATGTTGGTCTAGGCCACAACATCATGCCTACAAGGTGTACCGACAAATATACTACTTGTTCTAGACCGCGTCACTGTTTGGGATCAATGACTACTGACCATTCTCCAGGTCATACATCTCCAATCAGGCTGTGAATCCTTTCAGACCAAGCGCAAGTACATCTAAACACTACCGACAAGGCAGTTTGATGGCCCAAGCTATGAGCCGACGTCATATTCCAAGTTCAGCAAGGAGCTTGATACCATGGTACAACTCGCAAAGTCCTATGAAGAAGATTATGTTATTTCCTGCCTTCAAACATGAAGCCAGAAAATAAGGGGAAAACTGTTGGGGAAAAATAATCCATGAGAAGATTTCCCCACCTTTCGGCTTCCAGGTTCCAGGCCCTGAGCCAGGTCTCTGCCCCTGCTCCAGTTACCGGGCCCTACTCCAGGTACCGGGCCCTGCTTTTGGCCGGGTCAGGTACTTCATCCGGCCTCCAAGTAAAAAAGGAAAACTTCATGATAAATGTGGACATTAACATTTATCATAATATTGTCAAATCTCCTTAAATCCAAGAGAAGAAAGAGGAAGTATTCCAAGACATATGACTGGCTTTAAGAAAATTGGAAATATTCTACTATCGAAGAATATAATGAATATTTCCAAATTTTGTGAGAGATGCACGACCTCTACTATAAATATACGTTTATTTAACCTAAAAGAGGAGGGCAACATGTTCATCCATAGAGCAAACCATTCTACGGCCACCAAGGCAATTTCTCATACCTAGAAGGCTTCTTCTTCAATATGCTTATGAAGGATGATCCCGATGACTACTACCAGCTGGATAAAGCTTTATACTCATGTCTGTACATCCACAAGAGGTCAATATATCCATAATAGAGAGAGAGACACGAGCTCATCATCTCAATAGCTGCCAAGGCAAGGTTTCGTACCTAGAAGATCATCTTTCTTGATAAACCTATAACAGGCTGAATCCCTACGATAACCACCAACCATATGAAGATATAAGTTCATTGTAGCACGCCTGCAACTCCACTTATTGGCTCAGGCCACGTTCTTCTACTCATTTCCCGGAACACGCCATGTTCAATGAAGCATACCGACATTCCATGTTCTCTGTAGCATATCGACCATTCTACCATCTGTTCCAGCCATGTACCCTCTTGAACAGATGACTCTTATTAACTAAAGAGCCATGTGCTCCCAAGGCCCTGTGCCTCTCCAAGGCCCCACGCCTCTCCAAGGTCCCGCGCCTCTCCAAGGTCCCGCGCCTCTCCAAGGCTCCGCGCCTCTCCAAGGCCCGTGACTCTCCAAGGCCACGTGCCTCTCCAAGCCGCTGCGCCTCTCCAAGACCCTGCACCTCTCCTAGGCTTCATGCCTCTCCAAGGCCTTGCGCCTCTTAAATGCCCAGTGCCTCTCCGAGGCCTGCGCCTCTCCAAGGCCCCGTGCCTCTCAAAGGCTATGCGCCTCTTCAAGGCCCCGCGCCTCTCCAAGGCCCCGTGCCTCTCTAAAACCCCGCGCCTCTCCAAGTCCCCGCGCCTCTCCAAGGCCCCGCGCCTCTTCAAGGCT